TAAATGGTTCTGGCCCAGACTACCTGTCCGAACATATCTCTTGCCACAAACCATCATGAAGTTTAAGATCTTCAGGAGAGGCCCTGCTCTCGATCCCACCACTATCGCAAACGCGGTTGATGGGGACGAGAGACAGGACCTTTTCATCAGTGGCCCCTCGCCTATGGAACGCCCTCCCTAGAGATATCAGATTGGCCACCTCCCTCGTGTCTCTTAGAAGAAAAATCAAGACCTGGTTATGGGACCAAGCGTTTAATTAGTGAGCAGCAAGTGGAAGAAGATCACACAACTTATGGACTGGTTTTTGATTTAATGGATGCGTCTTAATTAATTGTTTTAATTGTTTTTTTAATATTTTTAATATTTTGATTGTAGTGTGGTTGTTTTTATGATGCTAGCATCATATGATGCTTTTGTTAGGTCACCCTGAGTCCTCCTTCGGCGGGAGAAGGGTGGGGTATAAATATAGGAAATAAAAAAATAAAATAAATGTTGTTAGGATGCAGCCCAAGCCAGGATCTATGGTGAGGAAAGCTGGGAGTTGCCACCTGACAACATCTGGAGCACATGGTTACCAGCCCATGTGAGAGAATGATCTTTCTTCACCCATCCCACATAATTTCGGTACTGTAGAAACTGAATTCTGGGCTGCTTCTTAGCTCTTCCAAACCCAAGACTCAACTTCATCAAAGAGTTGCTGCTGCCTCTTTGAAGCTTCAAGCCTGAATTGGTACATACCAAAAATCACACTGCAGAGTGGTTTTCTGCTTAAAACAAACAAAATAAAAAACCCCACTTCTCAACAACAACAAAATCTCATTCTTTTGTTCATACAATCACGGGATGTTTAAACAACCATGAAAGGGCGGGATGTAACTTCCTTCAGTCTGTGGCTCTTGTTCCACCAACAACCTCAACAAATGTGGGCATTGCATCTATGCCGTTTCAATGAACCCTGTCTTGAGCAAATGTGGGACCTTCCCAAACTTCCTTGCCTGCAACTCCTATTGGTTCTGGTCAAGGGATGAAGAAAAGCCAACAACATGGAAAGCCACCTTATTCCCACACCGGGAATATACAAACTTCACGATATACAGCCTGTAATCCTGGGCATGTTCATTCGAAAGCAAGTCGGAGAGAGTTCAACAAGACTCACTCCCTTGCAGCTGTGCAGAAGACTGCAGGCTTTGCATGCCTTCTAGAGAAGAGACACATGAGACGGGAGAAAGGCCAAAATTGCCACCAGCTGGGAGATTCTCCGATCCCCAAAAAGTAACTTTTCTATACTCTAGGATGTGAGCAGTGTTGGTAGCAGTAGACCAAGCACCTCTGCATTTGGATCCCATATTTTGGGTAGGAAAAAAATCACTTCCCATTCACTCTCCCCCAGCTCCACTTTCAGAAGCCTTAGAGGGCATTGTGCATATTTTGTTCTATATGTGGAGGTTATAAATTCGCAATATTTACAACCGCTTTTGCTTAGAACAGCCAACTGGGATCCAATTGTCAAACTGTCCTATTTTCTTTCTAGGGAGAATAATCACTTAGGCCCCTTCCACACAGCTGAATAAAATCCCACATTATTTGCTTTGAACTGGAACACATAGCAGTGTGGACTCAGATAACCCAATTAAAAGCAGATATTGTGGGATTTTATTCAGCTGCCTTGATATTCTGAGTTATATGACTGGATTTTATATGGCAGTGTAGAAGAGGCCCAGGACTTTTCTAGCTGAGCAGTTTAAAGGCCTCTCCCCTAACCTCTATAAAAGTCACAGGGAGGAGGGATCAAGCTTGTTTTCTGCTGCCCCGGAGATTAGGACGTGGAACAATGGCTTCAAACTACAGGAAAGGAGATTCCACCTGAACATTAGGAAGAACTTCCTGACTGTGAGAACTATTCAGCAGTGGAACTCTCTGCCCCAGAGTGTGGTAGAGGCTCCGTCTTTGGAGGCTTTTAAACAGAGGCTGGATGGCCATCTGTCAGGGGTGATTTGAATGCGATTTTTCTTCTTCTTGGCAGGGGGTTGGACTGGCTGGCCCATGAGGTCTCTTCCAACTCTAGGATTCTAATTCTGCAGGAAGGAGGCATCCACAGGGTTTAAAGTGGATAGATACTCTAGTGCAGGGGTCCGCAAACCTTTTAAACAGAGGGTCAGGTCACAGTCCCTCAAACTATTGGAGGGCTGGATTATAATTTGAAAAAAACATGAATGAATTCCTATGCATATTGCACATATCTTATTTGTAGTGCAAAAAAACACTTTAAAACAATATAATAATTAAAATGAAGAACAACTTCAACAAATATAAAATTATTAGTATTTCAATGGGAAGTGTGGGCCTACTTTTGGCTGATGAGATGGGATTGTTGATGTTGTTGTGTGCTTTCAAGTCGTTTCAGACTTAGGTTGACCCTGAGTGAGGGCCGGATACATTACCTTGGAGGGCTACATCTGGCCCCTGGCCCATAGTTTGAGGACCCCCGCTCTGGTGTGATGAGATCCCAAGTCACAAGTCTCCCACATTGGGGAAGGGTCAGCATTGGAGGAGATGCTGGAGGAAAGGGGAGCCCCTTCCATACAGCCCTATAACCCAAAATATCAAGGCAGAAAATCCCACAATCCCTGCTTTGAGCTGAATCCACGCTGCCATATATGCTAGTTCAAAGCAGAAAATGTGGGGTTTTATTCAGCTGTGTGGAAGGGGTTGGAGACCATTGGTCCATATCTTTTTGCCAGAAGCCTCCCAAGAGCATTGGTCCATCACAGCTGCTTAGCATCTACTTCCTCCTCCAGCAGGAGGTAGAAAAGACCTCAGGAAGGAAGCATGAGTCCTATCTATCCCTTAAAATAATACTACAAAAGATTTTGTGGTCTTTGAGGATCCCTGGCCAAAGGAAACTCATGGGGTTGCATTGAAGGCTCTTGAAACCACACACAGTGGACTTCTCAAGGGTTGGAGAGGGAAAGGAGAGGCCCTGCTCTCGATCCCACCACTCTCACAAATGCAGTTGGTGAGGATGATAGACAGGGCCTTCTTGGCAGTTGCCCCCTGTCTGTGGAACTCTCTCCCTAAGGACATCAGGCTGGCCACCTCCCTCCTGTCCTTTAGAAGACAACTGAAGACCTGGCTCTGGGACCAGGCATTCGATTAGAGGCCAGCGGCAATAGGAAAAGGAAATTTGGATTTTGTGACATGGATTCTCCCTGCTCGGCTTGGTTTTACTGGCACGTTAATCTATTAATTTATTGTGAAATTTTACTGATGATGTTGTACAATGTTCTAAAATGATTTTATTGTGAATTGTAATTTTTATGGTATTTATGCTGTTAGCATCCTCTGAGGCTCATGTGAGACCACGCTGAGTCCCCCTTGTGGGGAGAAGGGCGGGATATAAATATATGAAATAATAATAATAATAATAATAATAATAATAAAGGAAATGAATAAATAGGGAATGGAGTTGCACCTGGATGAAAGAGGGTGAAGAGAGTGACGTCTCAGGCTGGATCTACACTGCCCTGTATCCCAGGATCTGGTCCCAGATGGTCTGCTTTGAACCGGATTATATGAGCCCCCACTGCCAGATAATCCGGGATAATTATTATTATTTTATTATTTATTATTTCGGGTACTTCTACCCCACCCTTCTCAACCCCCGAGGGGGGACTCAGGGCGGCTCACAAAAGGCACAATTTGATGCCTACACAGTAATACACATACGTATAAAACAGCAATTAAAACAATTATAACAGTTAAAAACAATCAATATATAACACAATCAATAAAACTAATCTCATGCTCAGCGTTCGTCATTCAGAGTTCCATAATTCCATTCCATTTAGTCAATTCCTGTCCATCGTCAAAGTCCTTTCTTTATCTGCCAGATTGTCTGAATGCCTGGTCCCAAATCCATGTTTTCAATTTTATCCTAAAGGAAAGGAGGGATGTCGCTGATCTAATTTCCCCGGGGAGTGAATGCCATAGGTGAGGGGCCACCACCGAGAAGGCCCTGCGCCTCGTCCCCGCCAATCTCACTTGTGATAGAGACGGGGCCGAGAGCAGGGCCTCCCCAGAAGATCTTAGACTCCGAGGTGGAACGCAGAGGGAAATCCAGTGGGAAATCCGTTCGGACGGATACACTGGGCCGGAACCATATAGGGTTTTGTAGGTCAAAACCAGCACTTTGAATTGTGCTCGGAATTGGATCGGCAGCCAGTGGAGTTGACGTAACAGGGGGTGGTGGTATGCTCCCTGTATGACGCTCCTGTAAGTACTGGACTAGTTGGAGTTTCCGAACAGTCTTCAAAGGCAACCCCACGTAGAGTGCATTGCAGTAATCTAATCGGACATCTGATAAGCAGGACATCTGGGATAGGGGGCAGTATGGAAGGGGCCTCAGATCTCTCACATTTCTATACCCCCCAAAAAACCCAGTCAGCTTGCCCCCTTTAAAAATAAACAAACTTTTTTTCTGGCCATCTGTCTGTGGTGCTTTGAAGGAGATGTCCTGCTTCTTGGTAGGGGGTTGGACTGGATGGCCCACGAGATCTCAGGGATTCTTTGATTCTAGGATTGGACGACTCTCCCCTCTTTCCCTCTCTCTTCCAGGCCCCTTCTTCTTCTCCCAATCCCCAAATTTTCCAACTTCTGGAACAAGAGCAGCAGGAGGGGAGCTCCGATTACAGGAAATGCTTGGAGTTTGGGGGGAAGGAGAAAAAGGAGGAGAGGAGGGGGCGTCCATGGAGGGAAAGAGAGACCGGAGAAGGGACGGAAAAGGAGTGGAGATGGAAGGGGGACCCCCAAGATGGGGGGGGGGGGGAGAAAGACAGGGGTCTGCATTCACTTAGCAGCCTTGGAAAGAGCCCAGAAGAGAGGGGGGCGTCCTGAGAATGGTTTTCTTTTCCACGCACCCCGGCTGAGTCTGGATCCGATTCCCTACAGGATCTTCCCTTCCTCCCTTTCCCTTTCTTCCTCCTCCCTCTCCCATTCCTCACCTTGGCTGCTCCGGGAGGTAGAAATCCACTGAGAAGCCGAAGAAGCTCCCCGAGGGGCCGGTGAACCGCGTCGGCGCCTCGGCGTCCAAGTTGAAGCCCCGAACGGAGCGAAAGGAAAAGGAGGAGAGACTCAGGAGGAGGAGGAGGAAGAGTAGCATGGCCGAAGGGAAAGAGAAGCGGGAAAGGAAGGGAAAAAGAGGTCCCAAGTGCCTCCCTGGCTGCCTCTCGCCTTTCTGGACCGACGAGGGAGACACCGATGCTGCTGCTCCTGCTTCTCCTCCTCCTCTTTCGCCTCCCTCCTCCTCCTCTTCTCCTCCCTCCTTCTTCCCTTCCTTCCTCGGCCGGGAATGACTCACAAAAGGAGGAGTTTCCCTCCCTTCGACGGGACGGGATGGCTCTCATTAAACCCCCCGATGCGGGGAGGAAAAGGAGGAGGAGGAGGAGGGCTTTCTTGTTTTGGAGGGGAGCCAGCGCAAGGAAAGAAAAGAGGGAAGGGGCGGACGGACGGACGGGGGATTTCCTTCGCCAAGAGGAGGAGGAGGAGGAAGCTCCAAAGGGAGACCCACAGAAAGAGCGAGGGGAGTGTCTCTCTCTCTGCGTGTCTGTCTCTGGATGTGTGGGTATGCACTCTATAGGCCCTCTCTGTCTCTCTCTTCTTTCTCTGCCCAGAGCCTGGTGATGCCACGCTGGGGTTTTCCTTCCTTATTCTCTTTCTTTTTTTCTCTCCTTCATTCCTTCCTTTCTTTCCTTCTTTCCTTCCCTCCCTTCCCTCTTTTCTTTCTTTCTTTCTTTTTTCTTTCTTTCCTTCCTTCCTATCCTTCCCTCCCTCCCCTTCCCTCTCTTCTTTCCGTCCTTCCTCTTCCTCCTCCCTTTCTTTCTTTCCCATCCTTCCCACTCCTCCACCTCCCTCTCTTTTTCCTTCTTCCTTCCCTCCCCCTCTCCCTCTCTTTCTTTCCTTCCTTCCTTCCCTCTCCCTCCCTCCTTCCTCTCCTTCCTTCCTTCCCTCCCTCTCTTCCTTCCCTTCCTTCCTTTCCCTTCCTTCCTTCCTTCTCCTCCCTTCCTTCTTTCCTTCCTTCCTCCCTCCCTCCCTCCTCTTCTTTCCTTCCTCCTCCCTCCCTCCCTCCCTCCCTCCCTCTCTTTCTTTCTTTCTTTCTTTTCTTTCTTTCTTTCTTCTTCTCCTTCCCTCTCCCCCCCTCTCTTTTTTCCTTCCTTCCCCTCTCCCTCTCTTTCCTTCTTCCTTCCTTTCCTTCCCATCCCTTCCCTCCCCTCCTTCCTCTCCCTTCCTTCCCTTTCCTCCCCTCTTCCTTCCCTCCTTCCTTCTCCTCCCCTCCCTCCTTCCTTTCCTCCCCCCTCCCTCCCTTCCTTCTTCCTTCCTTCCTCCCTCCCCTCCCTCTCTTTCTTCCTTCCTTCCTTCCTTCCCTTCTTCTTCCCCTCCCCCCTCTCTCTCTCTCTTTCTTTCCTTTCTTTCTTTCTTTCTTTCTTTCCTTCCCCTCCCTCTTCCTTTCCTTCCTTCTCTCTCTTTTTCTTTCTTTCTTTCCTTTCCCCCTCCCCTCCCTCTTTTTTCCCTTCTTCCTTCCTTCCTTCCCTTCCTCTCTCTCCTCCTTTCTTCCTTCCCTCCCTTCCCTCCTCTCTTTCTTTCCTTCCTTCCTTCTCTCCCTCCTCCCTCCCTTCCTTCCTCCCTCTCTTCCTTCCTCCTTCCTTCTTCCCTCTCCCTTCCTTCTTTCCCCTTCCCTCCTCCACTCCTTCTTTCTTTCCTTCCTTCCCTCTTTCTTTCTTTCTTTCTTTCTTTCTTTCTTTCTTTCTTTCTTTCTTTCCCATCCTCCCACCCTCCCTCCCTCCCTCCCTCCCTCCCTCTCTCCTTCCTTCCTTAACTCTCTTTCTTTCTTTCTTTCTTTCTTTCTTTCTTTCTTTCTTTCTTTCCCATCCTTCCCTCCCTCCACCTCCCTCTCTTTCTTTCCTTCCTTCCCAGGCCTGTAGCGAGGGGGGGGGGGTTTAGGGGTTCAACCCCCCCCCGAAATGTTTCAGATTTTTTAAAAAAACCTGGTTTACTCATGAATTTTAACTGGTTAACCCAATCCCCATGCTAAGTCTATGAGATGCAAAAATTAAGAGTCCCTCCAGAACTGCAAGCACTATCTCAGGCAAATATTGACAATTTATTCACACTGTCATTACTTGCAGCAATAGCCAATGTAGCGAAGCAACCAAGTTGGGGGGGGGGGTGTTGAATGCTCTCATTAAGGAGGCCAGAATTGGTGGAGGTGGTTGACAGGGGCGGAGATGCAGGCTATTGAAGGCTGCTCTGCCTCCTGCTGTGCTCTTTGCTTCAGTGTGAGCTAGGAGGCAGGTTTCAGCACCCGCCCCCCTCCGGCAAAATTTTCAACCCCCCCCCCAACAATTTAAATCCTTCCCAAATTTTTTTTCTGGCTATGGCCTGTTCCTTCCCATCCTTCCTTCCCTTCCCTCCCTCGCTTTCTTCCTTCCTTAGCTCCCCCTCCCTCCCTCTGGGTTTCGTCCACTTAACCAATTACAGATCCACCTAACCATAGTTTTGCCTAGCCCACATTGGACTAGTTTCCCTGCCAGAAGGTATGGGGGACCTTGTCGAAAGCCTTACTGAAGTCCAGATATGCTACATCCATGGCATTCCCTGCATCTACCCAGCTTGTAACTATCGAAAAATGAGATCAGATTAGTCTGGCATGACTTGTTTTTGATAAATCCGTGTTGATTATTAGCGATGACCGCATTCATTTCTAAGTGTTTGCAGACCACTTCCTTAACCATCATTTCCAGAATCTTGCCTGGTGAGGCTGACCGGATGGTTATTGTTTGGGTCATCCTTTTTTCCCTTCTTGAAGATAGGGACCACATTGGCCCTCCTCCAATCTGCTGGGACTTCTCCCATTCTCCAAGAACTCTCAAAGATGGTTGCCAGAGGTTCCAAAACACCCTTCATTGCTAACATCCTTCCTGGCAGTTGAGGTTGGGAATGTTTGGGGCTCCAAGCGTTTTGGATTTTTCTATCAGCCACAGCAGCAAGGTCAGTTGTAAGAGATTATGAGAACCGAAGTCCAAAATACTTGCAAAAGATTCCCATCTTCTGACCTGCTTCCACCCCTCTCTCTCTGGTTTCCTGATCATTGGCTGGAGTAGGTGGCAATTGATCTGGTTTCCTGATCATTGGCTGCAGTAGGTGGCAATTGACCTCCAAAATACTTTTGGAGGCACCAAAAAGAAGTGGTTATTTAAGACAACTTGAGAGTACAAGATTCCTTAGGACACTATGGAAAACTTTGGCTGCGGCATATTTATTTGAGAGCCATCTTGGTGTAGTGGTAGGAGCATCGGACTATGATTCTGGAGGCCGGGATTCAAATTCCCCATCTGGACATGCAAAGCATTGGGTGATTTTGGGTAAGTTTCAGCCCCAGGTTTGCCTTGGGGGCAGGCCCATAGCCGGGGAGGGGGGCTTGAGGGGCTTCAGCCCCCCCCCCCCAAAATTCTCAGGGTGATCCGCGAGAAGGCCTTACTGGTATATTATTTAAACTATTATGTTTATTCATATCATGGTCTGATTACCATGCTCAGTATATCCCATATGCATGGGGGTGTTGGGATAATGATACAAAAGATTTGCTAGGATAGATCCTGAGCACACACACACACACACCCCAAAATCAAACTCAGCCCCCCAATCAAACTCAGCCCCCTCCAATCAAAATCCTGGCAACGGGCCTGCTTGGGGGTCACCACAAACTGGAAGCAACTTATTCATTTTGTGATTCCATTTTTTCTCCCAATATAAGAATCATATTAATCTAGAAATGATGGTGTAAAAGAAATAAAAATATAATGGGGCGAAGGCTATTAATGTTAGGAAAAAAAGGGGTAGTACAGAGAGACTAAGCGCCATTATGCTGTAGTAGAACCATAGGCAAACTTTGGCCCTCTAGGTATTTTGGACTTTAACTCCTACAATTCCTAACAGTCGGTAAGATGACAGGGATTTCTGGGAGTTGAAGTCCAAAACACCTGGAGGGCTGAAGTTTGCCCATGCCTGCTCTAAAGTCATTGATTGGAGGCTGGGGTACTGATAAGTAGACTTTACATGTTCCATTTCCAGAGGCGGCCCTAGGTAATTTTCAACGGTAAGCAAACAGTATTTTGGCGTCCGCCCCAACCAATCATTAATATATATTTTCTGTTCGTCAAGGGAGTTCTGTGTGCCATATTTGGTTCAATTCCATCATTGGTGGAGTTCAGAATGCTCTTTGATTGTAGGTAAACTATACATCCCAGTAACTACAACTAGCATATGTCAAGGTCTATTTTCCTCCAAGAGCACCTCAAGAGCACCCCTGGGCAAAATCAACTATACTACAAACGCTTACTTTGCATAATGGTTGAGCCGCCCCTGTCCATTTCATCTTGTCTGTTCCAGCCCAATGCTCTAGCTGGGGGATTTTGCTGGATGTACTACAGAAAAGTAACTTCTCCCAGCTGTGTTCTGAGTTGTGGGTTCTCCCTCACAGCCAGGACTTTGTCTGCTCATGCATCCTTTCCAGCCTGGCCCCAGGGCAGGACAGGGAGGTGGGGGGGGGGGGTTGCAGGGAGGGATGGGGAGGCTTTGCCTTGACTCTGGCTGAGCTCATGGAAAGGAATGACCCTACAATGTAGCAAAACATTTGCTTAGGCAAAAGCCTTGGAAAATGTGGTGTGGTCAATAATAACAAATAACTCTTTGGCTGGTGGAGGTGAGAATCAGGCAGGTGACAGACGGTTCCCACAGAGCTTGTAAATTGCCCAGGCTTAAGCATCGCAGCTATGCTAACACTTCCCAGCCCCCTCCACTTCTACTCCAGATGCAATTCAGTCTGAAAATATGGGGCTGGCCTCAGGGTACCCCACAAGAATTTACACTGGCAAGGGCACAAATACTCTAAGGTATTTGTGCCGTAAGGGTATCAAATCCCATCTGATCTTGGAAGCTAAACAAGTTTGATGGGAGATGGCTAAGGAATACTTAGCTCTATAGGCTGTATTTTTCAGAGGAGGGAACTGACCAAACCATCTCTGAGCATACCTTGCCTAAGAAAACCCTATGAAATTCATGGGGTTGCCATAAGTTAGCAAGTATCTTGAAGGCACACACACAAACAACACAACCTTGTGGCCAGCTTGGATTGCTGGTTGCCTTTGTTGGTGCATGGAAACTAAGAAACAAAGAGAGTTTGACAGAGAGAAAGAGAGTGCAAGCAGCAGAAATGGTATCATCCCTGAGTCTGCAAATTGTCTTTCTCAAAGATTACATTTACTTACTTCTTGGTCATACTATTTGGCCAACCCCTTTCCAATGCCAGAGATACAGCTTAATGGTGTAACATTAGAAAATGTTGACCATTTCCGCTACCTTGGCAGCCATCTCTCTAC